TTTTATTTCTTTTTCTTCTTTACTTTTCCGGTTTTATTTACTATCTGTAGATGACTGATATGAAGGTACATTAAAGTCTCTTCTGATACATGAAACTTCCTTAGTTTCTTATTGTATTTTTATTCATTTTTGTTTTGTGTATTTTGAAATTGTGCAGTTAGATGCATAAGAATTCCTAGCTGTTAAATCTTTTAGGTTGATTTCATATGTTGTCATTATTAAATATTTCTCTTTGTCTTTTTTAATGTCATTCGTTCACTTTGGATTCTGTTTTATTTGGTATTAATATTGTTTCATGTACCTCACTTGCTTGGCATTTACTTAGAATAACATTTTCCATTCCTTTATATTCTGTCTTCCTTTGATGTTTTATTTTAAGAAAGTTCCTTGTAAATAGTTTATTGTTGGTGTTTTTAACTCTGTTGTGTAGTTCTATATTTAACCGACTTACATTTACTGAGACTAATACATTTGAACTTTTTTCTATCTTATTTTATGTTTTTCATTTGCTAGTGTTTTCATTTTCCTTTGTTGTAATTTATTGTATTAATAAAGTTTTTCTTGTTCCATTTTTTCCCTACTGATTTGGAAGTTATGTAAAAGTTTGGTTTTCATTTGATTTATTTCTCAATCTGCCACTAATTGTGTGGAATTCTAGTAACCTAATACATCATCTCTAACATGAATGTAACAAAAACTAATTTACTGGATTATTATTAGATATGTATTCACATAATGTGATATTCTCTTCATTGTAGGCAGTTAGAGCTAATAGAGCATCTGCCTTTTCCAGCCTTTTCCCTTCAGGACAAGTGTCAAGTCTGTTTGCCATGATATCCTTTCTGACCAGCTCAGTGTCTAACACATAGTTAGGCACTTAAGTGAGAGATTGAGGGAAGTGTAATTGAATAAGAAAATGCTTCTGAGCAGCAAATCCCAGTAGCTTGAGTTCTGGGTGTTGGGGGCTCATTTACGATACTCTGGAGGAAATGGAGAGAGCTTTCCAGACCTGCACACAGAAATGTATTTCCTAAATGAGCTAAAAGATTAAAGGTTCCCATAACTGATTAGTGAAAAATTAGGACCAGCTTCAGAAAGAGAGGATGGAAAACCTGCTAATCTAAAACTCTCCATGGGAACAAAGGTGGGAAAGCCGGGAGACAGCCGACCATGGGAGAAATGTTGACAAAAAAGACCTCTCTTCTAGTCCCGGGTCTGCCACTTTGGGACCCCAGGCTGATGGCTTAATCTCTCAGAACCTCAGTATTTTCATCTGTAGAATGGGGATAATAGTCCTTCCCTTATGTGACTTAGTTGTTCTAAGTAGCAAATTAATTACTCATTGCTATAAAAATGTAAGGTGTTGATTTTAGTTCATAATAATAATCTCAAAAGGTTAGATTTTGTTAGGCATATTCTAACAGAAAGCAAATCTTTGCTAGCCATTTAAAAATGAGCTTGTCAGTTTTTAAAATGATGAAGCTTTGTGGTCATGGAGAAGCAGGCAGTTTTCAGTAACCTGGAGAATGTATTTATATGGAACAGTTCTGCACTCCCTGACCAGGCAGAATGAATGACCCTCGCCCTGGACTGCAGACTTCGTGACCTTGAGTAAAAACACTTAACTGTTACTTCTTCACCTGAAAATTACAGTAGCCGTTGTCCTGCCTGCCCTGGGGCATGGTGAGGCTCAATGTGAATTATGTTACACATGAAAAGGTGTTGTGCAGAGGTAAGAGGTAATAATAACCATTGTTATCATCCATAATACAAATCGTCGTGCTGTTAAAGTTAGCCACTTTGCAAATGTAATACATTTACTCATGGGGAGGATGTGGCAACGCTCTTATTTTTATTTATTTTATTTGTGTTTTTCTTCTTGCCCTTATGATCTGGATTTCAGAAGGTTCCATTTTCTGTTTGTTTTAGATGTCACTAAATTCCTTCATTCTGACTTCCTAAGATCTTCTCTTCCCCTCCCCTCCCCCTCAGAAAGTAAGTTGTAGGGAGCGACTTGGGTGGAAGACCTCCCCCTGTCCTTTGCGGCTGGGATATACTCCTATGTGTGAGCCGGATTAGACCTTGTGATGTAGGTAATTGTTGCCTGGTGCAGTTCTTTAGTGGCTTCTGAAATGTTATTGCAACAGCTGATTGCATTGGTATAACTTACCAGATGCAAGGATGACGGCTCCCTCCCCACTACCAGCCAAGCCCTTCCTCAAACTCAGCTGCCCCTGCAACTGTTCCTGCATTTACATGTTGATTTATGCAAATCATAATTGAAAAGGCCTCAGGACCTAGGGATCTGACTTGCCTTGCAGTATGTAAACTCTGAGGGTTAATTATAAATTACAGACCAAGGATTTAATCATAGCAGCCTTTCCTTCCAATGTTTATTTCCTTGCTGGGCAACTTCCATGGCCTTAGAAACTGTCAGATTAACAAAGTGATGCAGGGGGTATCTGAATCTGGCTCCTGGCCTACTGCTGTTAAAGTAGTTCGAATATAGTTTTCCTTTTATTAGGATCTATTTAAAACATACAGAAAAAGAGTGAAAATAGTAACCACCTGTGTATCCACTACCTAGATTTTACCAAATTTGAACAGTTTTGCTTTATTTGCTTCTGAATTATTTTAAAAAGAAAATATGTCAGGTACAGCTGTTTCTTTTATATTCCTCTCCCCATACTATAGCCCTCTGTCCTTCCCTCCCTCACCAGAGGTTACTTGTATTATTCTTATTATAATACGGACCTGTTCTGTTTTTATACTTGTTCTGCTATGTATCAACAATACCAAGTACTTCATATGATATACATTTCATGTAAGTGATATCTTATAGTAAGTATCACTCTGCAGTTTGCTTTTCCCCCATCTGTGTGTGTACGACTTTTTCATATCAATACATGAATTCTATTTCATTAATCTAGCAGTTGTATAGGTTTCCCGTGTATGAATAAACCATAGTTTATTTTCAGCTCTTACTGATGGATATTTGGGTTGTTTCCAATCTTTTGCTTTTCTAAACAATAACAAAGCGTGTATCCTTGCTCCTGTCTTCCTGTGCACACACGTGCGAGTTCCTCTAGGCTGAGTGTGTACCTAGAGGTGAAACTGCTGGTTTGCCGTGTAGGCGAATCTTCGAATTCACTAGAGCAGTCAAGTTGCTCCCCCAAGCAGTGGGGCCGGTGTGCTCCTGCACTAGTAGCTTGTTGAGAGTCCTTGCTTTTCTACATCCTTGTTTATATTTGGCATTTAACATTAAAACTTTCCCCACAATCTGGTGAGTGGGAAATGGATGGTGTCTCTGTTTTAATTTGGATTTCTCTGATTACTGGTGATCATCTTTTCATATTTTTATTGACAGTTCAGCTTTTCTCTCTAAATTGCTAGTTTCTATCCTTTGTCTATTTGTCTACTGGATTATTTATTTTTCTTATAGATTTGTGGATATTCTTTATATAGTCTGCATATTAATCCTATGTTAATTATTTGTATTACAGATCTCTACTGCCAGACTGTGGCTTGTCTGTTGACTTTATGGTGGTTTGTTTTTTTTTTGTTTCCCCAAAAGAAAATTGCAGCGTAGTATAATTAAATTTAAATATGTTAACATTACATTTGAGTTTAAGAAAGCCTTTTCTGTCCTGATATCATAATCATATTCTTCCTATATTTTCTTCTAGAAGCTTTCAAGTTTTCCTTTCACATTTAGGTCTTTGTTCCATTTAGAATTTTAAGAGCTGTCCGGTGTGAGTCAGGACACCATTTTATTTTGTTGCTTATGGGTATGAATAGTCTCGGCACTAAAGAACACAGTTCATACTTAACTCATTTTTATGCTCCCTTTGTCCTACCCCTTTTGCTCTACTGGTTTCTGCCTGTTCCTGCTTCCCTCCCACACTGCCTTGATTATTTCAGCTTCATTATGAACACTGATAGAATAAGACTCCCACTCCTGTCCCCTCCACACTGGGTTATTGTTCTTCACAATTATTTGGGCTATCTTAGGGTTTTACTCTTCGTAGGAATATTGGGGTCAGCCTGTTTAGATCCACACACACACATACACAAAATCTGTTGGGATTTTAATTGAATTTGCATTGAAAATTATGGATTACTTTAGGGAGAATCGACATCTTGACAGTATTCTTTTCATTCATGAAAGTAATTTATCCATATGTTCTTTCTTTCATGTCCTTTAAAAATACCTTTGAATTTTTTCTGTAAAAGTCTTGTATATCTTTCATTAGATTTCTTCCTAAGTGCCATACAGTTTGTGTTGCCACTGTTAATAGGATTTTTTCTATTTTCTCTAGTTATTTTGATGTGTGGGAATGACATTGGGTTTTTTTGCTAAGTTTTTCTTTTTTTTAATCCAGAAACCTTGCTAAACTCTCTTCTTAATTGTAATTGCTTGTCTGTAGAGTCTCTTGATTTTCTGTATAGAAAGCATATCATCTTCAAAAAGAGCAGTTTGATTTCCTTTCCCGTTGCAGGTTGAATGTCATGTATGGAGTTCAGACTCTATTCTCTATCAAATTAGGAGCTACCAAAGGTTTCGAGAAGTGGCATTTAAATACTTGCATTGTAGGAGAACCCATTTCGGTAGCCAAGTGCAGGTGCGATTGAAGGTAAAGCAGGGGCCAGTTAGGAGATGCTGCGGTTAGTCACAGGGTTTGCAAGCCTGACCTTGGGTGGTCATGGAAGGGAAGGAAGGGCAGAGATAACTGCGAGAGATTTTAGAGTTCGGGTCAGAGGGACCAGGTGAGGAGGAAGCGTGGGAGGGGAGGTCCAGGGAGTCAGCCATGACACTGGGGCTCCTTCCTGCAGCAGTGCAGTGTGGGTGACAGGATGAGGAGTAACGCCGGCGGCAAAACACCTCGTCTGTGACAGGGCCAGGGCGGGTCCTTGGAGCGTCTCTGTCTGTAGATGATCATTCTCTCCCACTTGGCCTGAATAACATTTTTCTCTTTGTCCTTTTGAAATCTTCCATATAGATAAGTACGAACCTGATAAAGAGCTTCCAGTGACCCAGAGGTTGGAGACTGAGCTTGATGCAGCAGATGCAGATATCCTTCCCGAAGAAGCTCCATCTCTTCCAGGCCAAAGTGCAAGCCTCAGAGAAGAGGCCTTAGCCCTGGCCAAAACCAAAGCACCGGGGAAAAGGCCTGTGACTGAACATGGGCCACTTAGGAAGAAAGATGCTCCGGCACCGGCAAGACTACAGCAAGTATGAAATGTACAGCAAGTACAGCATGTAGGCGGATCTGAGAGCTCAAATCCAGGCTCTACCTCTTAGTAGCTTGAGTTCTCAGACATTTGATGCCAGAGCACTTGAGTCCAACTGTTTAAATTACGCTGATTTAGCTTAGCTCTAGGTTGTTTCGATTTTTCAACAAAAATAGCAATTTTTAATATCGTTGCTAGGACAGGCCATTCTTGTCCTGGTTTGCTAAAATCCTAACTTATTTGATACCATGGTCCTAATCAGGCAGGCCATTTTAAAATTCCATGTTTTTTCTACTTCTGATTTTAAAGTGTAAAATTGAGGGGATTAAGATTTGATGATATATCATAACTACTCAGTAATAAAAATCATCCTAGGGTGAGTACTTTCTAATACGGCTTCGGAAGCCACCTGGCTTGGAACTATGTTACATTTTAAGCTTCTGCTTAAAATTTAACTTAAGGCCCTATCAGGGGAGAGCTGGCCAGAAGACCACCTCCTAGTCTGAATTCCCTTGCTGTGGGTACTGCCATTTGATGGTGCTGTCCAGAGGCTTGTCACAAACCTGTGTGCTACCAGGTGACCCAGGAAAGGGAGTTAGGCCGGTTAGTGATAGATCATGGATTTGGGTCACATCTTTATTCCCTGCCAAACAGATGCTTATGGGGTATCATCGGGAAGTCAGAGTTGAGCCTGTGTGGATTCAGCTCGGTGCTCTTCTCCAGAGGCAGCCTCATGTTCTACAATGTTTTGCTATAGCCCGAATCTTTCTATTGAGATGGCGTATTCCTTCGTCATGATACTCTTCCTGTATTAGCCCATTTAATCTTCTGGAAACTTGTGAATAAATTATCTCCTGTTTTACAGGAGGAAGATGAGAGTCAGAGAAATTGACTCTTTTCACCAAGAATGTTTTAAAGATTAACCTCCCTTTTTTTTGTTTGTTTAATTAGGAAAACATATAAACATATTTTATGTATAATATATACGAGATTGCACAGCAAGGGATTCTGATTTTCCCTCCCCCCGCTTCGCCCACCAGCATTGTTTCAGCGTAGCTTCCACCCTCCTCCAATTCCCACCGCAGTGCCTCTTGGGTAGGTTTGTGCAGGAGGGGCACGGAGGCCCTTGAAGCGTCAGTGAGACAGAGTTTCTCTGGCATCCACTTGGCTTTATAATTCATATTTCTCTCTCGCAGGGACTTCACAAAGCTGAGAAAAGTAGACCAACCCAATCTCACAGCAAAAGCAGGTTGCAACAGACAACGGTTTCATCCAGATTAAAAATAAACCAACAGCCTGTGAAAGACAGTAGGGCTCCCTGGATACCTCCAAATCCCACGTCCCCACCAGCATCTCCTAAATGGTATGTAAAAATTCAAGGGACTGTTTAGGTATGTCATTTTATTTTTCCTCTACAGGCCAAAAGTGACTTGTTGTTTAGAGCAAATAAAGCAGCAGCCTTAATTCCCACTAAGGAGAGAAGCTTATTAGGATGAGTAATACATAAGAAATTTTTGTCGAAAAGCCTGTTGGTTCCTTTTTCTTACCTGCTTATGGGTAATGTAACTTCCATGGGCCACCCAACACCTTACGGACATGTGTCCTTGTATGGAGGGTCATAGGCTTTCCTCTCTCAACCCTTCACCAGTAGATACCAGTTATTTGAGGTCAGGAGCTATGCCTTCCCTGAATCTGAGCGTCAGTGTCTAGCACAGCGCCTGACACTTAGTAAACCCTAGTAGGCACTCAATAAATCTTTACTGAAAGAATGACTATATTGAAGTAATTCTCATTCAATTTAATGACTTATAATGACTTATAAAACCATACAAATCTCACAGACACTGTTCTGATTGCAGGGGACAGTCAGGGTAGTGCTGACATTATTGCTCTGTCACCCCCGCCCACAGTACACGAAGAGTGAGAAGCCACCGTAGCACAGAGCCAGAGAGAAGGCCTTGTCCTCCGGGGGCACCAGGTCTGGTCAGGCGGAGTGGTCTTTGGGGCATTGAATGGGAAGGACCAGGAGGCAGGGCAGTAAAGAGAAGGCAGCAAAACGCAGTTACATGGGGAGCAGAGGAGGGAGAAGTTAGGGGACCTTCGGCGCCTGCCTTCCGGGAGGCTGGCAGGCATGGGGAAGAAGCCTGGTGGAATGGATTCCCTTTAAGACTGAGTGATTCTGAATGAACGATTTTGCTTTATCCATCAACCCTTAATTTAAAGTTGAAGAAACAATGTCTAGAGAATCTAATGCCTGCTTATGTAGCAGAGCAGGGACTGATAACAGGTCTCCTGCTTTCATAATGGGCTTTTTTATTTTTATTTCCTCTGAATTCTCTATTTTTATATATGTTAGTATAGGGATGTGGATTCAGTTCGTAAACATCAATTAGTTGAAGTTTACATTGCAACCGAATATACAGGGGACTGCCTTCTAGGATCTGTGTGTGGTGGGCGAGGGAGGGGAGGGAGGGGGTGAGGCTCCCGGGCTCAGGGAGCTGTATTAGGCCTTAGAAAGGCGCGGAGGCACTTGGTAATATGGAATGTCATTAGTGACCCAAATCCATATATTATAACAGGGTTGTTTTGAAGTTTATCCATTATTCTGTAATTGACTTTTTTTTTTTCATTTGAATTAGTGATTGCTTCTATGAAGCAAAAGGAGAACTTTCCTCCTTTAGTACTGAGCCTGAATCCTGAAGGATCTCACTCTTCTTCACATTCAGCTTCCATTTTAGGGCGGGTGTGCTGGAGATGACCATGCATTTAATGCTTTCATCTTCCCCGAGCTGGCACCTTTCAGTGACTCATTGGATGCGCAGTGAATGATTGCAGAGATACACTTTCCTGTGTCTTGCAGTGCTGCGTGGCTCAAGGTGAAATCCAGCCCCAGAGATGCCGCCAAAGAGCAGTCTGTCCAGCAGGAGGGTACTGAAGAGGACAGTCAAGTGACAGGTGCCATTGAGCGTGAGGCAGCTAGGTTTGTGCTGGTGTTTTTCAGATCTTTGAGTATATAAGGGCCCCTTTCACATAGATTCTAAATTGAACTTTCTTCTCTTTCCTTTGTATAAAGTTAGTTATTTAAAACGTAAATTATTAACATTTTCTGTCACACTCTGCAGCTTAGACAGTGAACCTCTTTTTTATTCCTTCTCATTTTATTCATTCAAAAATTATATGTGTGTGTCAAGTGCTTTACATGTGTTAACTCTCTTAATCATTATAACGCGGTAGATACTGTTGTCATCACCCCCATATTTCAAGCAACTGAAGCAAGAGGTGTTAAATAATTTACCCATGACCACACTATTAGTCTGTGACCAAAGCTGGGATTTGAACCCATGGAGTCTGCCCCTGATGGCATGCTATTCTGGTTGCTAAGCAGCAGGTAGTTTAAGATGTAGGATTGAAGTTGGAGGAAAAAAGATTAGGAGAGGCATATTTGAGAGTCATCACTGAGGCAGTGTTTGAATGAGTCATGAAGGTAGGTGAGATTTATTAAGGGAGCAAGTATGAAACAGGATCTAGTTGTGCATGAAGGACTGAGCTTTGGGCTAGACCCTGGGGAGCAGGAATAGGAAGTGGACCCAACGGAAGAAAATCAAACAAGAAGAAAAAGCAGGACAGCAAAATATGAGGAAGCTGTAAGAGAGGGCTCCGGAGAGGACTTCAGGCTTGTGAATGAGTTTTAAAGCTTGTTCGTGCCGTGGACTTCTTTGGCAGTTTGGTAGTACGTTTGGATTTTGTCCAACAGTATTTGTAAATGCTTAAATAACATATACAATTATCAAACTATTTTTTAAAAACTGTAAGTGTGTATATTATCTACCAGTTGCATGCTCTGTATGTGGTACAGTTGGGAGCACTATGGAGACTGTTAAAAAAGGGCAAAAAAGAATACCGACCCCAGCTTCTTTATGGTCGGTAGGAAGGACTTGACGTCAGCTGTAATTTAAGATAGAACATGATGTGCCCCTAAGAACCAAAGGGTTAAGAGCAGAGACTTCAGAAGGGGGACAGAGTACTTCTTGCTGCAAAAACAGGCTTCTTGGAGAGAGATGAAAAATAAATTAGGACCTAAAGAATAGACTGTAAATAGAGGGTGATAAGGTGAGAACATTCCATGAGAGGACAAAAGCGAAAACAGGTCTATTTGCACTTATTAGGCTGAGATTGTTCCTGAAATTATGGGGAAGTAAAAATGAATATGGGCCATTAAATAATTTGATAATATTTACATATCCTGAACTGAAAGAATCAAAGCCCATCCACACGCAGTGAAAGTGTTCAGGGTTAACTTTGCCTTTCTCTTTTTATGTGCCTTTCGGGCTCTCCTGGGAGTCCATTTCTTTGTCTAAACTTGTAGCCACAGCAACAGCTTTATTTTATAGTGGAACAAGAAATCCTAAGTCCAGTGGTGGCTAGTTTTCCTAAGAATAGTCGTGGACAGCTTTTTGCTGCTCTGCATACCAGCTGGGAGCTTCTGCCCAGAAGGACCTGTTTACTTGGAACCCCTCAGGGAGGGCCTTGCTGGGGTCGGGGGCGGGGGGGTGGTGAGTCGCCTCCTGAACCCCTGCGGAGCCAGGCCTGGCACACTGGAGGATCCTGGTGCCCGTCCGGCTCTGTGGTGTGGACACCTTGCAGGTTGAGATGGAACTGGTCTAACTCCTTCTGTACTGTCTGCTAGACTCGCTTGGCTCGACGCAGAAACTTCCAAAAGACTGAAGGAACTTGAGGAATTAAAAGCTGAGGAAGTGGACAAAACACAAAAACAGAGGTAAATGTATGTTTCTGAGGTAGAGAGCGACAAAGTGGGCCTGTTCCCCATCATCTAGCTATTTTAACAACTCGATGAAATTGTTTAAAGGTGTAGTCACACTTTTCGTGTTTATTGGCTGGCTGCCCGCTTAAAAGATTTTGAAATCACCTAAGAGGCCTACCCTGGAGCCAAGACAGGCGGCCAGGGGCGGCCTGGCTGCTGTGAGGAGAGCTGCGGTGGCTGTTTCGTACTGTCCTCTGGACTCTGTTGGCTCGGTGCTGAAAGGGTTCTTGCACTTGAGCTTCACTCTAGTGTCATCTGGGTGGATTGTTTGCTAAGGACCCTCACGCTCGTCTTTAGGCCTCTCCTTTGGTGGGTGGGGAGGTCAGCTCTCCAGATGAGTCTTCTGATTTTCTGGCTGGAGAGTAAGGATCTAGATGCCAGAGTCCTAAGAGTCAGGGAGGAGGGTTGCAAGTCAGCCCTTGGCATGCAGCATGCGTCCGCGGTCCCTCTTTTTGGTAGGGCTCCTGCAGCCACAGCTGTGATTGGCATCCCTTAGTCAAGAGACCCTTCCAGGGGCTGGGCAGCCAGACTTCTCACGGAGGCGGAGAGGTCTAACTTCCCAAGCATCCTTTGATTCTTGTCTCCCCGCTCCCAGTGCACCTTCAGGCCTGGACGTCCCTGGTGCGACCAGTCCTGTGCCAGCGCAAGTCAGGGTGCAGACGGGCTGGGTTTTCAGCTTTTCCCGTTCCTGCCTAAGAACCCAGCTCGTTCGGGTCAGCTCAGCTCGTTACTGCCTTTGGCCCTCGGCCCCCCAGCACCACTTTTCTCCTTCTCCTTGTGGGTCGGTGCTTAACTCTATTATTTTGGGGTTTGGGGAGGGAACACAGTTAGTTTCATCTCTTCGGTTTTCTACCCTCTTTGATTGTTTAAAGGCAGTCGTTATTTTAAAATGGACTGAGAGCCTAACATACTTCTTCAGGTGTTTTGATCTAGGACCTACAGTGTGGCATCTACCTGGGAGCTTGTTGGAAGTGCAGAATCTCAAGCCTCAGGCAGACCAACCGAATGAGAATTTGCATTTTAACAAGATATCTCGGGGACTCATGTGGCCATTAAAATTAGGGAAGCACTCTGGGTTTATAAGTATTTGAGTTTTCCTTCACCTGGAGGGAGTGGTAAATAAAAATTCAAAATAGGATATTTTCTTGCTTTTGATTTTATTTTCTTTTTTATTTCTAAATAGTGTTTCTGCCACCCAGTTAGCAGACAAGGTAGAGAAGGAAGTTCTGGAGCGTTTGAAGCCTCTCCTGGTCAAGGCTCAGGTGATCCAGTTCATCTCATTTGCTTGCCTTTTGAAAATTCTAGAATAAAAAGAACTGCTGCAGAGGTCACACTGACCCTCGGCAGGGCCAAGGGCTCGGCAGCTAAGCCTTCGGGGCTGCGCAGGCCGCGGGGTGGGGGCCCTGCTGCGAGGGCCCCCGTGGGCGCCCGCGGGGAGAATGATGAGGGGAGAGAGACGAAATCCCACTTGTTAGAAACGTGAGATTTTAGTTGGGGGGATGACTTCAGATTGCAATTTCCACTCTCAATCAGAGAGACCTGGTGGTGGTGATGTGTTTAATTAACTGCTTCCCCTCTAATCCTGTGCTCTTTCACTTCAGTGGTTTGAAATGACTAGCTCTGTTTTTCCAAAGGAGAGAGTACATCTCTCTTCTTCGGACTTTTTTGAAGATGAAATTGAATACAGCATCACCAACAGGTTGTGCCATCCTCCTCTAGGCAGTGAGCGGAATGTTATGGCCAGACCCTGTGGGTGCCCCTATAAATGGCAACAGTCTGTTTGCATGAAGAGATGGGGCCACAGAAGAATATTATGCTCTTATAGAGAAAAAATGGCATTCTGGGTCCCTGAAAAGGTCATTGAATTTCTGTCGCTCCAGTTGAAGAAATGTTGAATTATTATTAGAGTCCATGGACATCTCAGGAATATAGAGCTGGGAGGGCTCTTTGAGACCAAATCATCCAACCTCTTCATTGCAGAACAGGGAAGGGGAGTAACTGCATAAGAACACACGGCTACTCCAGCACTGTTTACAAAGCTGAGGGAGGAAGGGAGGCCGAAAGCCAGGATGGACACCTGGCATTCATTTTCAGGAAGACAGTGCTTTGAATCACTGCGAAAAGCCTAATGCAGCTAAAGCTGATGAACAGCTCCTCACAGAAGTTATCCTGTTACAGAATTCATTTGTATGAATATGGGCTTAAATTTTTATAATTCTTGAATGCGCCTGTCTGTTTTAACAGAGAGTCAATTCTTCCCTGGAAGCAGATGCTCACCTGCAGGACCGGCCATCAGCAAGCACAGCGACAGCCCGGCCTGCAGAAGGGGTATGTGTGGTGTTGCTGTGCGGTGGTGTCACTGGTTTTAAGGAAAAGGATGCGCATGTTACTTTGCAAACACTAGATTTCCCCACTCAAGAAGTGGAAGTTCTCTTTCATGTTTGGCATGTTAATTCTGACAGTGTTTATTTAGCCCTGTGAGTTAGATGAGCCTTGCAGGCAGCTCACAGAAGTCTTTAGAGCCACAGGTTTTTGTCCACGGCTGCTTTCTTCTCCTCCTGATGACGGGGTGTGGGTGCGCTGCATGACCCTGGCTGTTGGTGGCTTTCAGCAGGAGAATGCCTGTCCTCGTTTCCTTTCATTCAGCCTAGTTTTGCTCATTACTGGCCTAATTTCCTTTATACTTAGTGTCTAATAGTTACTGTTAGGCCAGTGTGTTTTGAGTGCCCAGTAATTATCCGTATTGGCCTGGCAGAGACCGAAGGTAGCCCAAGAAAAAATGATAACATGTGAGGGGAAAAAACAATATATTTTGTGGTTGTCCATCCTCTGGGGGACTTGTTCCTGCCTGCCTAGGGCTGTGAGTGGAAGGTGCTGATGCGCCCATGGAATCTTTGTGCAGGTTGGAAAGAAGTTCCTGCTTTATGTGCTCCGAGCAAGTTGGGAAGGTCTCGGACTGAGAAGGAAGTTGGAACAAAGCTCTGCCAGTCCAATGACCTCAGGAACAAGAAGGAAGAAAGTAGATTTTGAGAATGTATCTTTATTATAATTATTAATCAGTGTTTTAGCTTCAGCATATTTTCATGCCCTTAGTGATTATATATTTACTGTACCAATATTGCGTGAGAGAATCTCATGCGAGGTGAGGCTTCTGAGGCCGGAGACGGAAGGCCCGCATGTCGCTCCTACGCACCGGGTGTGCTGTGCCGCAGGGCTTTGTGCAGCCCGGCGCCAGGCGCGCTTTTCTCTCCAAGTAAATAATGAGGCTGACGGCTGATCCAGGGTGGCAGCCCATGTGGTATTTTAATAAGAAAGAAAAAGGAAGTGATTATAAATGCCGTCTGTAAGGTGAACATGCTTGACTGTTACTAAAAATAATCAGCCCTCTGTATAAGAATTATACTGGAGGCATTAAATGGCCTTTAATATAATTTAGTGAAAAAGAAAAGTAACTCTATCAGTATTTATTATTCTGGGCTGCTGTTAAACATCAGGACTATTGCAAACAGTTTCCCAGGTATCACCATAAGAATCAATGTTTGTAAACAACTGAATAAAAACAAACAGAAGAACCTCACTGAAGTTGGCGTGATGACGCAAAAAGAATTATTTCGCTGTATTAACTTATAAGAGGGCTGTGGGACCTTGGACACATCCTGAGAAGCCTCATTTCTGAAATGGAGAAGATATTCGCTGCACTTTACAAGTAAAACAAACTTTCAGTAGATTTACTTACAGACAAGGTGATCTCTGATATCAAGACAAGGCTCCAGGAAGGGCACCATTATAACATGTTTGTCTGTTGCTGCTGCTTTTGCCATTAATTGAACTTGCACATGAAATATATTTTCCCAAAATGTATGAGTTTTTTACAAAATTAAAGTTACGTATGCACATGGCTACACATCAAACAATTTAAAAAGTTATACCTCCCCACAAAGTGCTAGCATGTGCTGGTTCTGTATCCAGCTCCTTTCTTATTTTGGTGGTCTTTCCATATCAGCACACTGAGACCTTATCTTTTTTAACAGCCAATAAAGATATGAAGAGACAGCCCATCTTAATCAAAGTTAAAATAAAAATTAGTTGAATAACCAATACAAAAAAATTTATAGACAACTAAACCAATAATACAGGTCTAGTTCATTAACATATGTATATTTGTATGTGTAATATATTTCATCTATATAGAGTGGAATGTCAAGAATACTACCATTTCTTCTGTGCCATTTCTTCTGTGAACTGTTAAAAGTTTTTTAGACTTGGCTCTGGCAGTAGCCATTCATTGAGTGTCTTATCTTGTCTGCCACTGTGCTGTGTCCTGAGACACACGTGCTTGTATAATCCTTACTAGTCTGACATGTAAAATTATTGTTTCTGTATTAGAGATGAGAGGATTCAGGCCCGGAGAGGTTAAGGAAACCTGCCCATAGTTGCTGTCATATCAGTGAGCAGAGCCAGGACTTAGTCCCAGAAACATCTCATTCCAAAGCCTGATACGGTCATTTCCCCAGGAGACATTCTTTGCAAACTCTCCTTCAGAGCAGATTATAGACAGACAAGGCACTACAATCATATATTAGAATCATATAGACATATATTAGAATAAAAAAATACAGCACATATAAAAATGCCTTGCAAATCGTAAAGTGCTATAAAAATGTCAAGAATAGAAGCTCAAGAAAGGCTGGTCAGGCTCTCCTGCATTGTAGGTAGAAAGTCTCAAGCAAAGAAAAGAATCATGAACTTTCTGATGTCATGAACCAAAAGAGAATAGATGCATCCTCTGGCGTATGTGACGTGTAAAATATTGGATATTCCTTCGAGTATGGCACGAGGAAGATACTTGCTTTACCAACTGGCAAAACAGGTAGTGATAATTTACACAGACAGTAAAAGTATTACTTTGTTAATGCTACTGTTTAAATGGCTGTGGTAAAAATTGTACTGATGTTACTGATTTTGATATTTACCAACTTAAGGAGAGGTTTAATTTAGCATAGAAACTATACCGGTTGGATCACCATATGGTTGGTTTCTTGGGATCAGTACTTACTTTTAAGTTCCTCTGCTGTCTTTGTATCACTTCTCCATCCCCCTCCCTCGTTTCGTAGGCTACTGCTGTTGACTGTACACCCAACAACAGTCGTCAGCTGGGTGATGTATTGGAAGACACTACTCATGAGCTCTGGGCTATGACTCATCCTAAGATCTTGGAGCCTGACCCCTCAGCCACCTTGGAGGACAGCGCATATCTGGAGACCATGTTGCTCCGAATGGAGGAGATGGAAGTAAGGTCCGGGGCCGCGGCTCTGGTTGGCCGCCGGGGGCTGGCCTCTGCTGAGGGCGGGTCCTCGCGTTTCTCTAGCTTAGAACTTCAGAATCATACCACTGGTTTTATGAGGGGGAAACCCCTAAAAAACTGGAATTATCTTCTTGATCCCTTAGAGCACAGTCTCCACCAGGTAGGTGAGTGTTCCAGGAAGCCGTCTGTGTCAGTGTACCAGCTGGCATCCTTGTGAGAGGCTGCCTTCAGCTTCCATGAATTTTTTTTGAAGACTCTTTTCAACGTGTTTGCTTGCCCATTTCATGATGGGGGATTTACGAGCGCACCTGCCCACACCCTGCTGAGTGTTCAGCAGTTTTTGACCAAAAACAGCATGACCCCCGTGCCCCACCCTCCTGTTCACCCAACTCCTGAGCAACTTTTTTGGTTGTTTGTTTCCCTGGATGAAAAAAGTCCTCAAAGGGAAATGTTTTGCTGCTGTGGAAGAAGTAAAACAAAAAACGGCAGAAGCTCTAAACACCTTCAAAATCGACAAGTTTAAAAGCTATGTTGAACAGGGGAAAAAACGCCTTAATAGGTGCATGGCATCAAAAGGAGAGCACTGTGAAGGCGACTGAAGTTTAAACATGTAACAATAAATACACGATTTTTTATAAATAAATTCTGGGGTGTTTTTTTTTTTTTAGGTACCCCTCATAAATCCTAGCTCAACTGCCACCCAAGTGTGTGGCCTTGATAAACTCACTCATCCTCTCCAGTAGGTCGGGTGTTTTTAAAGATAACATGAGGCTCCAAGTATCGTCATGCCTCAAGCAGCTCGCTGCCTGACACAGAGCTCAGGGAGAGGGCGTTACCAGCTGCCCCTGCTGTCCCTGGTGCGTGTGCCATTCAAAAAGACACCAGCACCGTGGACTTCCTCATCCCCCAGCTTGTAAATGCTGATCATTGGCCCCTCTACCCTGCTAGCATGTGACCCTGACATATCACAGATAAATTTACCTTCTTTAATTTCCACGATACTACTTTAGAATGCTTTTCTCAGAATTTTCAATCTCAGACATTACCCCACCCAACTTGAGGATTGTTCAGAGCAGGAAATTGAGACACAATAAGGAAGTAAGTGATGTGGCTAAGGTCACAGAAGAATTCCCACCAGAGCTAGGATGAGAATCCTCCCAGATCCCCAAACAGCCATTCACTGGTTTCTTCACAACTGCACCATGATGAAATCTCATTTTAGCTTTGCTGCTAAATGGAAACATTATGAGAAGGACAAAATTTTTTTTGCCTTTTTTTTTTTTTTTTTTTTTTTTAATTTAAAGATGTGTAGTTTATCCTAGCCTTATAACCGATTTCCTGGTTTTCGGGGGTAACTGTCTAGACCTGAAGTGCCCGCTATGGTAGTCTGTAGCTAAGTGTGGCTAGTTAAGTGTAACTTGATTAAGATGGAACACACTACTCATATTTTAAGTGGCCACAGTGGTCAATAGTTTGTGGGTACTACATTGGACATATTTCCATCATCACAGCAAGCTCTGGTCTAGATTAGATTGATTGTTTCATTTTATTTCAGACCTCACCTCATAAACGAATCACTTCCCAGCCTGACAGATGCTCATTTCTGGCAATGTGGCAGTATCAAATATATCTGCTGAACTATGGCATTCTTACTAGCTCTGGTTTGTAATGAAACTAACTTATTCTCATAAATTAAACTTTTTTTTTTTAATTTTTTTAAAGAAATACCAGGAGATAGTTCGCCAAAGATATAATAAAATTGTATATACTGATCCTCATCTTTGGATGCAGGCGGAAAAAAATGGTGAGTGTTCCCCTCAATTTTTTTCCCCAATATTATATCCTGAAAATTTTCAAGTATACAGAAAAGTTGAAAGAATTCTACAGTGAGCAACCATATAGATTCCACAATTAACATGTTGCTGTATTTGCTTTATTTATCCTTTATCCATCCATCCATCAGTTGGTCTTATTTCTGCATGCATTTCAAAGTAAATTGCGAACATCAGTACATGTCGTCCAAAACGTTTCAACATACGTATCACCAACTAGAGTTTAGTATATATTTTCCTTTTGATATAAAATTTACATATAATAAAGTTAACTGTGTCATTTCATGGGTTTTGATAAATGAATGATTGTGGGGGGGTTTTTCACTATAGTTTTGCCTGTTCTAGGATCTTGTATATATGGAATCATACATGCATATATCCTCTGTCTAAAACGTCTTTCATTCAACATGATGTTTTACAGATTTATCTATGTTACTTGTTTCCTGTTGCCACTGTAACAAATTCAAGCTTGCAACAAGTTAAAGCACAGATTCCATGATTTAAAACACAGATTTACTCTCTTACACTTCTGGAGGTCAGAAGTCAGAATTGAGTCTTAATAAAGGGCTAAAATCAAGGCGCTGGCACCTTCCTAGGCTGCCTGCATTCCTTGACTTACAACCATACTTCTCCAGGCTGTTTCTGTTGTCACAGCGCTTTCTCCTCTGTGGTCAGCTCTTCCTATGACTGCCTATTATAAGGACACTTTGGTTACATTTAGGGTGGACCCAGATAATCGGGAATACTCTCCCCATCTCAATTTAAATCCTTAATTTAAAGTTCCTCTTGCTGTAGAGGAGAATGTTCACAGGTTCCAGAGACTGGAATGTGGACACCTGGCAAAGCCATTATTCAGCCTGCCACACTTACATGAGGAGTTCACTCCTTTTCGTAGCTGAGTAGTGTTCCATGCATGCATGTACCCATCTAGTTTATCACCTTGCTTAGGGATCTACATGTGGTTGTTTCTAGTTTTGAGTAATTAGAAATAGATCTGCTATGAATATATTCATGTATAGTCTGTATGAACATACGTTTTTATTTTTCTTGGATAAACAGCCAAGGGTAGGCTTACCAGGTCATGGGGCTGGGTGTGTGCCAAACTTTTCCCCAAGGTGGCTGTACCATTTTACACTCCCACCTACAGTGAGTTCCTGTTGCTCAGTATCTTGACTAATGTTTGATGTTGTCAGTCTTTAATTATAACCATGCTGGTGGGCATGTAGTGATATCTCACTGTGGTTTGAATTTCATTTCTATGATCAATAATGAGGTTTCGAACATTTTCTAGTGATTATTAGCCATTCGTGTATCCTCCCTTGTGAAGTATTCAGAGCTGTTGTACATTTTTCTAATGAGTTGTCTGCCTACTTAATTATTTATTTATTATAATCCACTTTTAGAGCAGGATATTTATTATAAACTTGCTCAGTAAAAGAGTAAGAGACCAGCATTTTGTTAATAAAAGATTACAAAACACTCAAGAAGCTTAACCAAACATACACTGAACCCTGAGCCCACCCAGCACCAAAGAAATGTGCAGTATTTTGAAACACACAAGAAGCAATTTTTTTAAAAGCTGGCCGGCCATACACTACATTGATTGTATTATTTAGCATTTCACTGATTTATAAAAAAAACTACCCTAAAATGCTTTTTAATCCAACTAGGAATTTGCTTCATTAATAAGTCTAAAAATACAGACTGTGGCAGCCAGGGACACCCACAAATACACCATTGGGGAATGAAGAATCTTGCATTTTGAGTTTGTGTTATTGGGACTATGACCTTCCTGCTGACGATTCTGAAGTTGCTGGTGCTGAGGAATTGTCCAGTTTGCAGAGAGCAACAGGGAGCGAGAGCAAAGGGAACGTGTTTAAGAGAAACTGAGCGATGAACACCCCTGGCAGCTGGCTAGGAATCCGCGCCAGGAATTCGGTCCTCCCTGGTCAGGGCTGTCCCTGTCCCACCCTCAGTGAGGAGGAAAACTGAGAAATGCATTTAAAAAGGTTAAGCGGGGCCACCTGCAAAAATAGATCTGTGTAACCTTAGTAAAGAAGATTAGAAGAATGGCTACGACTGGGCAATGGACAGGATCAGGCACATGAGACCAAAATGAAAGTCGGAAGTAGCCCCTGTCAGCATCATAAAGACCACACACTCGGACCATAGTGTAGTCAAATCATAACCGGTGACAATAGCAGAAAGAAAAACCTGTCAAAAATGGCAGTATAGAGCACAGTCAACCCACATCTAAGTTCAATATGGCTCCAGCAGGGCTTTGTGTGAACAAGACCATGTGCACGTAAGTGAATTGTGATGAAGCTACTACCTCCCCATATCAAAAGCCATACGGTGGAGCTGAGTGGTACATAGAGGGGTATTTGTCATTTTATAGGATCTTACTAGAACCGAAAAACTAGAAAATAATGAATTTGGGTTGCAGCTGAAGGGCGAGGCAGGAACGGCCGCGATCATGGCGTCTCCTGTGCTTGTGCCCTGCCGTGCACCCCTGTGAGCCCGGAAGGGGTGAGCCCGGCTGGAGGCCTCCTCGCATCTGCTGGAGTGTCTCCCGGTGTGGTCTTGTGTGTAACTCAAGATTCAAGTGTTCAAAGAGGTCTTCCCCACGTTCCTTACCCTTCTACGGTGTCTCTGCAGTGTCAGGTCTTAGAGGGACTCTCGTTTGAGACAACACTGAAGACTTCCCATAGTCCTTGGATTCATAAGATGGCTCTCCAGTGTAAGAATAAATGTCTACTAAAGATGAATGAAGGTTAAAAGCTTTCCACAGGCCTTATCCTCACAGGCTTTCTTTCCAGTGTGACTTTTCCCATTTCCTTTAGAGGCAAGAGTTCAAGGAAGACTTTTTCCCTGTATGTCAACCTACTGACATACAGGCTCCCTCCCATTATGGCCTCTTCATGCATTCAGTGTTTTGAGAAAAAGCTTTCCTCACATCCTTTCATTCTGAGGGCCTCTCAACGGTGCTTAGATGGCTTGGAAGCGCTGAATTATGAAGGTAGCCTCTTCTGCATTCCTGTTGTTTATAGGGCTTCCCTACAGGATGACTTCTTGTGTGTGCGGTGCATTTCGAGGACTTAGGGAAGGCCTTCCCGCGTTCCTTACATTGACAGACTTCTCTACAATGTGCCTTAATAAAGCTTTATTAAGGTGCAGGGAACATTGAAAGGCTTTCCCAATTTCTTATATTCACAGGGTTTCTTCTCTCCAGTGTGAATTTTCATGTGTTTCATAAGGATTGAATAAGCATTGGGTTTCCTGCAATCTTGACATTTTCAGTTTTCTCTGCAGGCCTAGTACTTCTGTGTGACCCTTTAAAATTTTTGAGTTGTAGGAATTCTGTATGCATTTTGGGCACACAATTCTTTGCTACACACACACACACACACACACACACACACACACACAACAGCTTTATTAAGGTATAATTCACATACCATAAAATTCTCCCTTCTACACTGTATTATGGTATGTGAATTTTTAGTGTATTTATGGGGTTGTGTGAACATCAGTGCTATCTTATTCTAGAACATTTTCATCATCTAAAAAGAAGCCCTGCGACCATTGGCAGGCAGGCCCCCAGCCACCGCTGAGCTACTAAATGTCTGCAAATATTTTTTCCCCTCACCTAATTATTTTATCAAATGTGTTGTATTACGCAGACACTTAATTTTTATAAAGTCAAACTTTGAATTTTTCTTCTGTCATTTTTGCTTTCTTTGATCTAAGAAACCTTTGCCTACTCCCAATTTGAGATGAGAGTTTCTTGTTTTCTCCTAGGAACTTTTACGGTTTTGGCTTTTATGTGTAGGTCTGTGATTCATCATGAATAAAAGTTTGCCTGTGGTTTGAAGTAGAGGTTGCAGCTCATTTTTCCCCCTTAATGGATATCCATTTGGTCTCATACCATTTGTTGAAAAGACTTTCACTTTTCTCCTCCACTTGTAAAAATTCATACATACGCATTTTGGCTGCAGTTGCTAGGCTACAATCACAATTTTGGCTGGGAAGTGTTACTCAAATTCTGTTTGACTCAGGCTTATCAGTTATTCCCTTCCTTGATGAAAGAGGTGAGTAAAATGTGGTTAAACATTACCTCTGCAGAAATCTCAGCACGAGGAACACTAAGGGGGTAAAGGAAGTTGTGGGTATAGGCAGGCTACCACAGTCGCCTATGTCCCAGATAATTTTTTAAAAATACATGTGTGGGGTGTTGTCTCAGAAAAAGTGTTCTCCATGTCAGGTTTTCCCAGAAGAATGAGCCATCTAAACACAATACTGATTTGTTCCTTTTATCTTTTCTGTGATTTTCAAGCACTGCATTCTTTGCTCTTATTGTTCGCTCTTTCCCCAACCCTAATCCCACTCCCATTTGCATCCTCGGAAAACAGTTGAAACCATTCTTCAGGGCCCAGCTCACGTGATCCTGTATGTTCCGTGCCTGCAGTGCTTTTCCTGGCTTTCCTGTCCCGGAACTTGGCTCCCTTCCGTGCCCGTGAGCTCCCACAGACTTCGGGCACGTTCTGTATGTGCAGAGCTAGGCCGCAGGTTCTCTGAGGCCAGAGAATTTGTCGTAGTCGCTTGTGTTTCCCACTGCACCCGGCACAGGCTGGCCCTGCGCGCGGTGAATCAGTGGACATCTCAGCATCACTTTGTATGGGAGCAGAGCAAAGGGACACGTTGTAAGGCAGTTTGCCTCGCTGGTGGTGTGGCCATTGGCCACAAAGTTAGGTTGCATCATGCAAAAGACAGTCTTACCTAGGACTCAGTGTTCTCTTTTTTCAAGGGCAAGTTGAATGATTAGTCACTATCTGTGACTGTACATAAAGTCTAGGTATACATTGAAAACAGCTCTTTAGAACATTAAGAACTGAAATGAATTTTTGGACACTTTAACTCCAGAGTCATGAAATCATAGGGTAAGAACCCTGTGTCTCTAGTTGTTCACATGGTATGTTCAGTTTCATCACAAAACCATATTTACAGTGATTTTTGAATTATGCAGGGTCCAATCTGTATATCCTCTCTGTGAAGTTGAAAATCAGTTGCACTCAGCAGTATTTTTACAAAAACTGACTCAGGCCATGTTTCTGACAGTAAGAAATCACAAGCATATAAATGAGTTAGAGAAAGTTATTTGACTTAGAGATTCTCCTTGCCTAAGAGAAGGACAAATCTTCCCACACTTGAAATGCACTTAAAATTATAAATAACCTAGAACTCAAAAAGAGCGATCAAGCCGACAAGGTGTAGTTAGGAAGTTAATGTTTTGACTGTCATCCTGCAGATCTTCCAGCAATGCCCATGGACAAATTACATCAGCTAATTAAGTGTTTGGGTGTGAGTGGTTTTTTTCTTTCTCCCTAATCAAACCATTTAAAGGTTAAAAAACAAACCCAACTGCTTAAAACTCCTCGAATGGATGGCTGGACCCTAATGGAACCCGTGCAGCCTGGGGCTTTGCACAGGCTTCTCCAAGGTCTCCTTGAGAGCCAAGCAGAGGCTCAAAAGGAGTTTATTTCTCACAAGTGACATGTCCTTGGCTTGTGTCTTTGTAACTTTTAAATTCACCTTTTCATGTAAAACAAAAACATTGTTTCATTGCCCTGCTGGCCCAACCCATCATGCTTAAGAGGTGTGCATGTGACTTCTCGCAGGCGGTTGGCCCCTGGACAGCTCTGATATGTATGTTGACTTTTCTTCATATACAATCATTTTATGCCTCTCTTTTTCTAGACCAAAAACTCCCAGCAGTAAGTGAAAGGCCCCTTTCTCCTCATCCAATCAAGATCACAAAGACAGTAGCTAGCAAAGGCTCAGACGTGAACATCCTGTTAGAAAGGCCCTGGAATGGCAAGTAAGTAGGAACGAGACTCTGATTTCACTGTAGTTGTTTCCTTTGATATTGTTGAGTTTCATATTCTTTCAGTTGGCACAAGACAAAAATTCTTTTGAGCAAGATCTTGCCAAACTCCAAGATGGTTCCTTAAAATAGCGTGGTTGTAAGATGGGCGTAGAGTATAGAGCATCTAAAGGAGCCTGGTTTTTGTTGTTGAAAGGATCTCATGGGCACATGTGGTTATACTGATAATTACTGCAAGATTTGCGTTCAGACTCTTCTATGGGACAGGGACTCCTACCACGTGGAGGGTTAGGCCAGTGAACGGGGGAAACAGTGAGTGGTGATGACCTGAGTTTTGTAAGCCTTTGGCCGGCAAACCGTCAGGGTGAATGAACAGTTTCCCCTGCTTGCAGGTGATTTTGAATATTGTCATTTTTATTTGCTCTCAGTTCCCTGGATGAAAGTGTGGGAACCCAGGAGAAATCAGAGAAAAGAGAGGCTCCCCTTGCCTCCCTGTCAGAAGATTCTGAACCGAGAAAGGGTCGAGCTGCCCTCTTTGTCCCAGCTGGCATGCGGCGCAGCCTTGGTGACTACTGCAGCCGTTACGAGCGGTACCTCCGGATGATAGCCCACGAGGCCGTGGGCTCCTTCAATCCATGGCTGATTGCTGAAAGGTCAGTAAAATGTTATGTGCCTCTGTTTAGGAACAAGTGCCAAATGTTAACTGACAGAAAGACTAGAGAAAGGCCTGGCCAAGGTCTCACGCTTGTCCTTTCGGGCCTTGGAGTTTCCGTGCTTGCTTTTGGGCTAGGGGCCAGGTTTCTTTGCTAACTCCCTTTTTTTCAGGTAGAAGAGACCGTAAAACAGCCTGGGTGCTGTCACCCAGAGGGACGTTCAGCAGTACCCCCTTAGCACAGGCGCGCTATTCAAGTCAGGGAGGATGTCCTGACGCTGTTAGTGAGGGCTGCGTCCATCAAAGAACACAGACTAGTCCTGGATCAGAAGAGGTTATGATCTTCACAGTCAGGACAGACTTGCACATAGAGCAGGCCTTTGGACTTTGCCACATTTTCTTCTTCCCTTCTCCTCCCGAGGGTCACCTCCCCTGACAAAGGTCGTTTGTGCCGTCCTAAAACACGGTGCTACTGCTACTAAATTTATGAGCAATGGGTAACCTTTTTTATGTAAGTAGTTCATTGAAAGGTATGTATAGCCCTGACCGTTGTGGCTCAGTGGATTGAGCAGAGGGGGTCCCTGCAAAGCAGAACATTGCCAGTTCGATTCCTGGTCAGGACACATGCTTGGGTTGTGGGTTCGGTTTCTGCCTGGTTGGGTAGGATAGTCAACTCATCGATGTCTCGCTCCTACTTTTTCTCCCTCCCTTGCCCTCTCTCTTAAAAAATAAAAGTATAAATTCTTTTTATATTGGGCCCAAGTTTAAGTTCCTCATGGGTATCACTTTATTATAAACATGCAAATACTTTTTCATCCTTGAGCCAAATTGTATACTATGATTCCATTTCTTTCTTAAACAAGTTTTAAATGTATTCCAGGAGTTAATAATTGCCTCTTTTTATTTGCTTATTCTATCGTATATTTGTTAACTTTCCCTACACACTAGCCAGCATCTCAGGGCGGTTTTGTCCCTGTTCCCCCCTCCACCCCCCGCTCTTCCCCGGAGAGCCCCTTCCCCCACGGGCTGGGCCGGGCTGCCCACTGAGAGGGCCATCCGGCTCTGGGCTTCCTTCTTCATCGCCCTGGGTGTCAGATGACCTCCCTCCCATGTTCAGGTCTTTGTTTTCTGCTGCTCTCACCTTCCTCTTTCTTGGTTTACTCTCTTATTTTGATGGAGCATATCCTGCTTTGTGTATTGGAGGAAATTTTTTGAGATTTACGTATTTGAAAGTGTCTTTATTCTGTCTTCATACTTGATGGATGATTTGGCTGAGTTTAAAATTACGGGTTTATTTTTTACAAAGAATATACACCTTCCTGTCATTTGCGGGGGTGAAGGAGCGATTGTCACTTAGCTGCCAGGAGCAGGGGTGGAGACCTATCCATCTAGCTGCTCATTCTGCAGATGTTCAACCCGTGGCCTCATTTTCTACCCCAAACCTCCCCCCACCTTCCTGATGCTCAGCACGCTTGCTTCCCAAGTCTCTGTTTTGTGAGACGCATCAGCTTGCCTTCCTCGGCCCCTCCCTCGACAGACCCTTGGGTTCCAGCTTCCCCTGGGCCTCTCTGTGCTGCCGAAGCAGCTGTGGTTCTTCTGTGTGTTCTTTACTTTCTGAGAATCCTGGATGTTTCATACCTACTGTTGTCTTACGTTTCTCCTTGTACATTCATGTATTTGTTGGTCTGTTTCCTTTTATTTTAGTGGCGTTCTGGGCGGGATTGGAGATCATCACTTGTGTTCAATCCCTCAGGCTTAACCTGAAGTCCTAAAACTTTTCATTAATATACAATATCTTTCAAAGCATATGAGACCTTTTGTTCTGGTAGACGTGCACCTTTCTTTGTAGGGGAGGAGCATAGGGGAACGGGACTGGCTCCTGTGTGTGAACACATGCTCCTGCAGGGGGCCCGCTTGCTTTCCCAGACCCCGTCTGGGTGGTAGGCTAACTGGTACATGGGAACATCTGGCAACAAGTCAAGGAGGAGAGTGTGTTTGTTCCTTGGATGTTGTTACCACTTGATAAATGGTACACTTTGTTCATAGTTGTTTTGCTGATGGAGGGAAAGCTCTCTCGGCCTGTGAAGAATTACAGGTTGAAGTGTAGAGGACAGAGCTATTAAAAAGGGCCTGGATTTTTGCAGACGTGCTCTCCTTTGCTATATTTTGGCCCTCGCGTGACAGTGCATCAGAATTTTCTTGCTGTTTTTGATCTCTCTCGTTTTTGTTTCTGATTAGAGTGTTACAGAATGAGAGTTGTATTGATCGGATCTTGAAAAACTATCCAAAGACAGCTGACTTCACTTGATAGCGTTTCGTGTCAGGGCGAACTTAGATGATTTTTTTCTTCAATGCCTCCGTTTCTCTTTACGCCTTAAGAAAAGCACTGTTTCAGTGATTAAAGGGAGGAAATGATATAAATTGGATGTAAATAAAAGAGTGATTGTGAAAGGAAAGACTTAAGGTGATGCTTTTGATAAAAGCAAACTTAAGGATTCCTGGCTTGAAAAACAAATCAGGAGACTTCTGGTTGAAAAAGACAGATTGAACATATATATTTATCTTTCCCCAACTTTGTCACTAAAAGAATAAATGAAAGGCATGAACCTATAAATAACAGCAAACAAGAAATAGCTATGAAATTTTGGAAGCCATAAAGCAGTTTGGCAAATAGCGAATGACTTAGCAGGCCAGAGAGACAAGTGCCTGGTGAGGGTGAAACCGAGAGGGAAGCTGATTTATGCAAAACCTTGTAAACCTCAGGAATGAGAAGCGCCAGCTGCTTGTAGGACGTAGGAGCAATTCAGTCAGAAAACAGGGGGCTTGGCTGAAACACTCATTCTTGAGTAGAGCAGCCAGGTCAGGTGCTCGATGAAATCTGTGGGAGCCTCTTACACGGATACAGAGATCTCAGAGGAAGCCAAGACAGTGCAGGAAGGAGAATAAACATTAGGAACAAATTACAATTAATCTTCTCAGAGAAATAAGTGAAGCTATTACATCAGGAAACAGCAACAGGATATTATAAAAATACACTTGCAAAGAATAAAACAAGAGTTCTTAGAAATTAAAATATGGCTGAAATAAACTCACCAAAAGGGTTTAGAGAGAAAGGTTTCTCAGAAAGTAGAATTTAAAAAAAACAAACAATGATAGATAATAGTGAAGAAAAGATTTTAAAAATTAGAGGATTATTCTAAGAGATCCAGTGTCTTAGCTCAGGCCACCATAACAAATGCCATAGGCTGAGTGGCTTAGCCAACAAAAACACCTTACAGTTGTGGAGGCTGGGAAGGCCAAGGGCCTGCTTCACATTCGCAGACAGCAGCTTTCTAGCTGTCCTTTCACATGGCAAAGAGAGATCCTCTCTCCTCCGTCTCTTACCCATCCCACTCATGAGGACTCCACCCTCCTGCCCTAGTTACCTCCCAAAGGCTCCGCCCCCGGACACCTTCACCTTTGTGGTTGGGCTTTAGGCTCACAGATTTTGCATTTATAGCATCCAACATCCAAGTCACAGGAGTTCCAGAATGTGAGCAGGGAAAGTGGAGGAGCGGGAGCAGGAAATTCTCAGAGAAATACTGTGAGAAGTTCTTCCAGAAGACTGGTAGTCTCTAGATGGGAAGAGTTCATCATCTGTCCACTGCAAGTCAGTGAGTGAATAAATAAATGAAGAAGCAAGCAGAACAGAGAACATGACACAGTATTTTGAAAAGGAAATTTGAACATTCCAATGTAAGGAAAACATGATAAAAAGTCCCAGAGAGTTAAAACTGGGCATATTCACATCAGAAATGGGAATGGCATATTGCTTTCAGTAGCAACACGGCTAGCAGAGATTAGAGCATACTTCCAAAATTTAACCTAGAATTCTGTGCCCAGCTAAATTATTAATTAAATATAAGGGTAAAATAAAGACGTCTTTAGCTGTGCAAAGTGTCCAAAAAGCTAGCCCCTGTGGACTTTCTCAGCACGCTCCCGGAGGGTGCACGCCACCAGCTCAGGGCGTGCCCTGGGGACGAGAAAGACATCACTTAGGAGACTTAGGCTCCAAGAGGAGAACTTTCCTGTGACCATAGAAAGCAGCTAGCGCAGACTGGAGTAGGAGGACAGAGAACTGCAGGAGGGATGGCTTCAGGAGAGGGAAGGCAGGGTGAGGAAGGTTAAAAGGAAGAAGAAAACAGATACGCCACTTAATGTTCTTAACTGTATTAGGGGGAGTACTTCGGCATTTCATAGTATGATGATTTCATAATGTAGAGGAATTAGTGATAGAAACATGGAGAGCAAAGCAAATACAAAAACAAGGTAATCACTTAATGACGCACGTGGTAATTGGGACCACTTCTCCCACTGAGGATAACTCTTAATAGAAAAGCTAGGTCCAAAATAAAACACACGCTGGAAGTCGTCGGGAAGCGAACTAGGTAACGGAGGCTAACTGGGGCAGCGTCCTGCAGAAGACGGCCCCGGGAGGTTGGCTCGGCCCCGGGAGGTTGGCTCCGCGCCGGTCGGGATGTCCGCTTGGAGGACAGAGGCGGGGCCCAGGCCCGTGTGGCGGGAGCTGCCCTGGCGAACTTGCGTCGCTTTTGAGGGGGGTCCCTGCAGTAAGGGCGGCCTGGATGCCAGCAGGCCCCCCAGGGACCCCACTCAGCTGCAGGTCATCCTGCCCTCCGACTGGATTGAGGCGATTCTAGATTATTGCCCCCCCCACGCACCAGGGAGAGGCTGACGCAGATTTTCTCTGAAGGACAGAACATGGTTTTAGGACTAAATTATTTTTAGAATTTTTAAATACAATGTCTGGTATATGGTGAAAAATAACCAGGCAACAGAGAGACATGACAATAACAAGAACAGACCTGCAGTGGCTGCAAATGCCAGACCGAGCAGACACAGGCCTTAGAATCATCAAACCATGAATTCAGGAAGTCCTAAAATTAGGCCCCAAGCAAGAAAAGTAAAAATGAATCCATACATAGCATAGCATAGTAATGTTGAAAAATCAAAGATAAAGAGAAAAAGCTTACACAATTAGCTGGAGGAAGGAAAAAAGAGAGAGAGAGAAACAGACAGTGGAAGCTGAAAGATCTAGCCTATCTTCTGAAGTTCTAAAAGGAAAGAACTCCAAGCCGGAGTTCTAAGCCCAGCGAAACAGATTTCAAGAAGATAAGAGGGACTCCAGGAAAGCTGAGGAAACTTATCACTAGCAGACCTGTGTGACGCGAAATAGTAAAAAGATACATTTTAGCCAAGGCAAAAACAGTCACAGATGAAAGGGCAAAAATACTGGATGGTGTGAGTTTTTAAGAAGGTCAGTATGTAGGTAAATGAATATGGACTGTATAAGACAATAAATTGATGTCTTATGGGGGTGTGTGTACATTTAAAATAGACAAGAACAATAAGCCAGGGAGATGATAAATATAGTTAGAAGTGTTCTAAGGTTCTTGCATTTTCTGGAAAAGTGGCAAGAATATCAATTAATATTAGACTTTAAGTTAGGGATTCCCAGTGTAATCTAGGGTGACCCACTTAGAGAATAGTAAAAGGGTATAACATCCAAGTTAATAGAAAAGAATATCATGAAAAATTACAAAATCTAAAAACAAGAAAGAAGAGGGAACAAATGGACAAATAGAAAATATTTAGTGTTTAGTAATAGAAGCTCAAATATATCAGAATTGCATTAAATGAAGAGAACTAAACATGTCAATTAAAAGACAAAAGATTGCCAGGAAAACCAAGCAGCTGGGCTGAGGCCGGAGTAAGAGGGCAGGAGGAGAGGGTGAGTGACTCTTCGCTGCGTTTACCTTCTTTGCGTGCATCTGACTTTGGAGCTGCATTAGTGTTTCCCGCCAAATCAGCAGCGATGGCAGAGCCCGGACCTGGAATACAGATGGACACAGAATCTAACGGTTTGTCCTGTACGTCACGAAATCATGGCCAAGGGAGCAGGGACGGATAAGAACTAGGCTAAGTAACTTTTGAACATGGTATTTTGATTCCATGCCCTCTGGCTAAAGACAAAAAGTCTTTAAACAAATACTAGATTCTAGGGAGCAGATTTCTTTTGCACGGTGGCATGGGTTCTAAAACTGCTTTCTCTGTATTTTCGGACTGATCAAATAAGTGAGTATATTGTGAATAACAAGAACCAGGTTTCTGGGGGAAGGCTAGAATGAATCATCTCTTGAATTGGGATCGGAGGTATTATGAATTTTGAGTCTTTGACAAATACAGAAATATCCCATGGCATCTGCGAGATGTGTGTCTGATTCTGCCTGACAGCAGCGCCCGGGGCAGTGAGTGCACTCATACCCAGGTCTTCGCTTCTAAATACCCTTTTCCCCGAAAAGGTACCAGGCTCCCTGAGAAACGGCTGATTCCAGGCTGAGGCTGGGGGAACGGAAGATGAGCCTGAAACATTATGTTGTGTCAGAAAGGCAGCGTGCAGGGGATGATGGGGACCCGTCAAGAGGACCCAGGAGCCAGCTTGAGGGGCTCCTCTTGGTCAATCTGGGACATTTTGAGTATCAGAATAAGTAATAATAGTAATGAATTACAAACTACTGAATAAAGTAAGAATCCACAAAGCAAAGCCTGTATGAATGAACGAGTGAGTGAATGAATACGTTAATAATGAAGGGAAAGCTCTTCATGGGGTAGAATGCCAGCTATTAAATGCAGAAGGAATGATGGAGTTAGGAAATCAGTGTTGACACAGACAGTGGTGTGGGGATTGCCGGGGGCGGGCTGGGTGGAGGGGGGCAAAGGGGGAAACAGCAAGGACAACTGTAATAGCGTAACACTGAAGTACAATAAAAAAATCAGTGTCGGCAACCCTGTAACAATTGATTCAGGTAAGCTTGGTGAGAAACAAGATACTGGCATAGCCGTCCAGTGCCTCGCCACAACACACTTGTTAAGTACGGAGGGGAAGTAGTAACTGCACAGGGAGAGGCCCGGCGGGCGTTGCCGTGCGCCAGGGAGGGGTGAAAGCGAACACCGCTCAGCGGGAAGGCAGATAGAGGCACCGAGGGGCACAATGTCCCTTCCATGGCGTTTGTTCCAAAAGTGTGTAACCTGAGTCCGACCACGAGGAAACATCAGACAAACCCAAATCGAGGGACATTCTGCAAAAAAAGGCCTTTATTCTTTAAAAAGTAAGATCCTAGAAGACAAAAACTGAAGAGCAATTTCAGATTAAAGGACACTAAAGAGGTATGACAACTCCATTCAACCTGCGATCCGGGACTGAATCCTGGACGAGCAGAAGTTTCCTTTACAGGACATTATTTGCACAGTTGGCAGGCTTTGCAAAAGGTCTGTGGATAAGATTAGATAATAGTATTGCATCGATGTTAACGTGGTGGTTTTTATAATTATGGTTATCTAAGAGAATGTCCTTGTCTTTAGGAAATGGAGGGATATCAAGTCTGCAACTTACTCTCAAACAGTTTGGGGAAAGAAGTTGGCGTGCATGCATGTGTGCATGTGTGCAAAGAGAAAGAGAGAACACAAATTTGGGGTCTCCTGTCCCCTGCCCCATGGAGAGGGCACGCGCCCATCTCCAGCTGTCAGCGGTGGCTCTAGATGGGGGCTGGATTGCAGCTGGTCGCCTCTGGTTGTCAGCCGTCTCAAGGGGGAGGTCCGTCTGGGAAACAGTGCAGCCCCTCCCTCTCGCCTGACCTTGGGATCTAAGTGTCACCCTCTTAACAGCCAGCAAAGCGAGGCCTCTCACCTTGTTTTGCTTCTTCAAAAGTACATTGGCTATTCCTGGCCTTTTGAATTTCCGGGGAGATCTTAGAATTAACGTGGTAAGGTCCCCAGGCTCCCGTGCTTGGCTGCCTTTGCCTTTAGCTGTGTGGTTTTCTTGCAGCTTTTCAGAAGAGCTGCTCGATGAAGCTCTGGGGTCCGTGACTGCTGAACTTCAGGATGTATGTGAGGACTACGCAGAAGCTGTGTTCACCTCCGAATTCCTAGAGGCCGCTGCATGAAGGCTCCCTGGCATGGGGGCCCTCGCTCAACCTGGAGAAGCGACGGCACCACCCCTGGTTTTAGGCCACAGCAGATCGTCACCCTCAGCTGTGCATCCAGGCCCAGGAGGTGCTGCCCGCGGGAAGGAAGGACGCGCCAGCGAGGCCGCCCTCGCGCCGTCCCCTTGTCACAGCTGTGGCCCTGGCGGTTTTTGTTGGAATGCGGTCTATTTATTTGTACCCAGGAAACATGAATTGATTATGACAATATAATATTTTCTGAATGTATAATTTTCCTGTTGATATGTTATGTTCACCCACTGGCTCAGTTTGGTGATCAGGATGTTTTGAAAAGTAACTGATAGGCACGTTTCACACAGGGATTCAAGTTGCTCTTGGACCCATGGGTGGCGTCAGTGCCAGCAAAAGTGCAGTTACTGTCTGGTCCCGTCTCCTGGCTCATGTTTCCATCGTTGGCAGTTTCCCAGCAGGACACCTGTCCCCACTGGGTTATGGGCGCGTGGCGAGCCCAGGGTCAGGCCATACTGCCGGACCTCGGCTCCGTTGCAGCTCATCAGGAATAGGAACCCACAGTTATCAGTACACAACAATAAACCCACATTCTCTAATGTTCTGTTCCTAGGTGGTTTTTCACATTTTGAGTTTCTCCAAGTCTTCTACTGTTACCGGTTGACATACTCTGATAGACAAAACTTTCTCTGAATTCAGGGTGGGCCTCCCCTTGTGCCCGGTCAAAGGCACAGGGTTCACTTCCTCCTCTGTGTGGTGAGGGCAGGCGTTTCTGGGTTCCTGGAGCGCAGGGGGCCCCGTGTGGGAGGAGGGAGCAGACTCGAGTGGCACCAAGGCCTCTGGGTCTCCAGAGAAAGGAAGAAACTGCAGAACCACAACAGCTTGGTCCTTGAGCATCTTCTAAGTTACATTTTACCAAGAGAAAAGCCTCTGTATTTTCAGAAACTGTGAATTCAGAAAAAGGAATGTGTAAAAATATAATGCCACCGCCTGGAAAAAGGTTCCCTCTTTTTTTTTTTTTTTTTTTTTTTTTTTTTTTTTTGCCTCAGGCATGGAGAGAGAAATGTGAGGCAGGAGTGATGTGAGCGGTGCCCGCCAGTGGTGTGGGTCCCTTTTGTACCATATATAGCGTTGTCATCTGGGATTTTCCTCTGAAGTACAAGTTCCAGGTGATAGTTTAAGCTGCTTGATCCCACTTATTTGTACAAAATTGATTTTTGTTTAATGTTAATGTTTTCTTGATTAATCTTATAAATAACCTCAGAATTAAAAAGGCTTCAAGGGAAATGAAAGGTTTTTAATATGAGGAGTTACATGTGTACACTTGAATCAATAGCTTAAAGTTATTTGTGTGGCATTTTTTACTGTGCTGATTTTTTAAATAAACTCAATTATTTTAAAGTATGTGGGTATCTGTTTGAAATAATTTACATCTTTTTTCCACAGGCAAAGTGAAATGTGATACACAAAAACCACTGAGAATACTTCTCCATTTGATAGGAACATGTGAATTATTTGCCACCCCTTACCCACCGGAAGGAAATAAGATAACAAAAGCTAACAGTGAGCACATGCCGTGTGCCAGGCGTTGCTCTGAGTGCTTCCCATGTGCGATTTAACCCTCCTACCTGTGAGGTGGGTACCATTCTTATTCTTATTTTGCAGATGAATCAAGTGAGGCACAGGAAGGGCAAATAATGGGATCAAACAAGCCCGCTGTCGGCGATGCCTTGATCGTGTATTCACTCACTCCCATAAAGATACTTGTCACAGCTTTGAGAGTTCCCACGAGTGCTTTCTCCTGCACTTGTGCCCCCGCGGCTCGCTGGGAGCAGGCCCCCTCCTGCATGCTTCTGCCCCCTTAAAGAGCCAAGCCTGGGCTCCTTTACTTTCTTTCAGGATCTCCCGGTCTCTGTCCTGCCCCTCCCAGCGGCGGGGGGTCCACGTCATAGCCCCAAAGGTGCAGGGAGCTGAATCCTTCAAATACAAATACTCCTGCGTGTAGCCTTGCGCTACCCGAGACCTCTAGAATGTTAGTTCTTCACGAACAAAGGCTGCGTGTGTAGGTCATTCTCTAATCCCCTTCTGTTGTCTCGTGACCTGTTCCTGTATTATTTTCGGAAACAGACATGCATGAATGTAGCTGCCCCAGTTTACAGAGATGATGAAATTCAGAAGTATGTTTTTCACTCCCCAGTCCGATCTGTCCAGTTTCACAGCCCCAGTCATGTGGGGGTTTTAATGTGTTTGCACATTTGCCTCTAGTCTGTTTAGCTCCTCAGGGACAGGGTCTCTGCCTGTCTAGCAGGTAGCAGGTGCTCAGTAAATTCTTTTTGAATTAGAGACCAAGAAAAGGCACACTCTTGGGATGAGTTTAGGACAGGTCCATCACGGCTCCACGTAACCTATAAAAATTTGTGCTCGGCTCGGCTTCTGTGGCCCGATGTGGAACACTACCAGCGAAGACCGGCAGACCCTGTCTCTGAGGTACTGATGCAGTGGGAGCTCAAGCTCATAACCTCAGGACCTGGCCTCCCTCCTAGACAAAGGGGTGCACCTGGGGCCCCGTGTTGCCTCTGGCCTGAGTGCCTGGGTCAGCAAACTGCGGCGTGGGTGCACAGACCATCGGGCGTGGGGCGGCCTGGGATTTAAGATGAGGCCGGAGAGGTGAGCGGGACTGCAGAAATGACTCTCCTCAGGGCTGTGGCCCCTTCTCCCTCCACCTGTTGGTGCTGCAGGCAGGGAAGTGCTGGGCTCAGAGGAGAGATGGTGATGGAAAGCTTCTTCCTCCCTCTGCTCCCTTCCTTGCTCACAGTTCCTGTTGCCCTGAATGTGAGGGCCGGTGGGTGTGTGGACAGAGTACCTGGAGGAGCCAGGGGCTGCTGCACTGGGCGAGGCGGGGTCTACGAGGCAAGCAGGCGGGTTTGTGGGTCTGGGTGAAGCCCTTGGGACTGACAGGAAAGGAAGGGGTGCTACACAGAGCCAGAAAGTTTCCAGTTTTCTCTGTGGCACAGTGTAAGCTTCCTTAGCTCGGGCAAGTTTCTGAGAGTCTTATTGGAGCAGCTTGAGAGAATGATGAGAGTTCCCTGCAAAACCTGTAAATCAGGGGTGTCTGCACCGCATCACCGTGTGGGCGCCGTCACCTCCAGAAGGGCTGGCTGCTGGGAGAGCTCGGGGTTCTTCAGGCTCTTGAAAAACAGCAGAAAGACAGTGAGTAGCCTGCCTCCTTTCTTACTCAGTACTGGCCTTCCCACTAAGCTCTCTCTCTGCTGGTCCAGGAGCAGACACCTGGGCTCTGTTTCAACACTGGCTGTTTGCTTGGTGGCTGAGCCCAGCAGCACGGGCTTGGGGGGTGGGGGGGCCCCTGCCAGTCTCCAGGAAGGACCCAGCAAATCCTCGAGCAGGACCCCTGGGCCCACCGGCAGCTTGGTCAACTGCTCCACCCGTGCGGGCTGCACCCTGACCTGGAGGCACCGCGCTGACGCCCAGACTCCCAGGCTGTCGGCGGTCAGTCCTGTGCTCAGATCGCCCTGCTCCAGGCCCCCCTCCCGCCAGCCTGCCCTGGGCCCCGTTCCTGTGACACCGGGCCCTGCCCGCTCTCACTGGTCTTCAGGGGCCCGAGGCGCGGCTTCTCGCCCTCAACCTGGGATGGGGGCCCCCAGACTGCCCCCACCCTCCTGGGTGGACCCACTTTATCTGCTGCTCTTCCCAGTGGTCACCCTCATCCACTTTTCTTGAACCAAGCCTGCGACTCTCCCCATGTTTTCTGGCTGCCTTTCCGTTGATCCGACCTGACTTTGCCGTGGCCTGCTGTTGAGTCCGTTCATCCATTCCTGCCACCTCGTCTGTCCCCAGCCCAGCACCCGCGTCCTGCTGCCATGAAATCAATGAGCCCCTTTGCTTCCACCTTCCCTGAGGCCTGGCTCTCCCCAGGGTGTGCCACGGGGCCCTGCCCCCTACCCCCTGCACAGCCGGGAGAAGCCATTCGTCTCTCCCGCCCCCAGTGTCTCTTCCTGACCACGGCTGACCCCTGGGTCTCTCCCTCTGCCTATTCCAATACCTTAAAGTCCTTCGCAGAAAACTTTAAAAAGCCTAGGAGTTTCTGGAGCTGTTACCTCAAGAGCTGCTCACTTTAACTCCCCGTCCGAGCGCCCAACCGAAAGCCGTGGCCCTTCACTTCCATTGCAGCCCTCCAGCCCTGCCTGCTTCTGCTCCCTCCCTTGGGGCCTCTCCTTCCCTGGCTCTCCTCGCCCGCCCCAGCCCAGCCTCCCTCACTGTCAGCTTCCTGGGACATAGTCAGCATCTCCTCCCTGCTCCCCTGCCTCCCTCCAACCTCCCACCCACACATCCTTCCTCCGTCTTCACTTGGTCTTGGTGAGGTCAGCCCAAGCCGCCCGCCTGTGGGCTGCAGAGCCCTGCAGGAGGCGGCTGTGCCTGTGCTGAGAGGCCACGGCACCTTGCTGCCTCCCCCTGGGGGGACCCTCAGGACCCAAATCTGACTCCCCAGGCCTGGTAACCCTCTGGGGAATGGTAGATGTCCAGAGAGACTTCTGACTCTGAGATGCTGTGATCAAGAGCAGCTGGGACATCGAGATCCCAGGCGTGTAGGCTCTGCCATGGACCCCGCGGCCCCAGGGTTCCCTAAGCCCGGGCTGCCTCTGCCCCAGGAATCCCCCAGCCAGCAGACACTGGTCCTCAGGGGTGCACAGGGGGCCGAGGCCGGAGCTGGGGGTGAAGCCGGCTGCTGGCACCCGTGCAGCCGCCATCCTTTGCGGCCGCCAGAGACCTGCCCGGAGAGAGTCCCATCTCCAGGGCCAGGCCCCGGAGGGGAAGTGGCTCCCCTTCGCCCTGGTTGTTCGACACTGTTTTTGCAGAGTTACCTAGAGACTGAGAGAGGCCGGGGAAGGAACGCCACCCCACACCTCATCAGCACTTCACAGTTCAAAAAATGCCTTTAAACATATTCTCTCTTAGGTCGCTGTACCCTCCCGGCTTTGGGCACTAGCAGTAACTGGGGCTAATGAAGAATGTGAGCCATGAGTTAAAATCCCATGTGGCCTCCACGCCTCAGTCACCTAGTCTGTGAAAGGGGTAATAGCAGGAGTCCCCACCCAGGGCTATTGTGAGAATTAAGGGAAATAATCAATGCAAACCCCTAGAATAGCACCTGGCAGATACTAAGTGCTCAGTAAGCGTTAACTATGAGGTTTATCACTGAGGACCTTGTGAGAAGGAACCTTGTGGCTCATTCTCACAGCCTTAGTCCCCAAGTGCTAGGTTCCTGCCTTCTTCCTGTTGTAGTCTCTCCTGCTTGGAATCCTATCTCTCCTTGCCTTGCCCTTCAGACCGAGCACTTGGCAACACGTTTCCTAGCCATGCTGTTCGGCCGCCCTGCCAACAAAACACGTCGGGCTCCCGCCACAGCCTGGGCCGCCTCGGGTGAATGCGCTGGGGACAGTGCTCCCGCAAGCTCGCTCTGGGCCTTCCGGTGCCTCCAGGACTTTCTGAACTGGACCACATCCTATGGGGCAGGCAGGCAAAATATTAACAGCCTCACTTTACATGTGAGGAAACTGAGGCCTGCAGAAATTAAGAGACTTGCCCAGGGTTGCAGAGACGCACAGTGACGGAACCAGTCTCCGTCCTTTGACTTCAAGCCTAGCACCCTTTCCACTCCGCCTGAGATGGCCTAGGAAATCCTAGCAGACGTCAGGTGTAAGTCCATCTGCATTTTTAAATATTCGCTGTGGTCCCGCTCTATTGCAAGCCCCATGCTCTGCTCTGGGCCATACAGAGGTGAGTAAGATGTCTTTTCTACCTTCCTAACAGAGCCCCGCACAGCGGCCCGGCTGCCCGGCTGCCCAGCGCCGAGCTGCTGCCTCAGTCTCCAGCACTGCCCTCATGCGCCGCCCTCGGGCCCCGCGCCCTGGCCAGGCCGGCCCTGCCTGCCCAGGACCCAG